AGCAAGAGGCACAGTCACCCAGTAGCCACCGGGCTCTGGAGACACGAGCCAGGCCAGCAAAGTGTCGGCCGCCCCCTACAAGGCGACAGGCGAGCCAGGACAAACTGGAAACCCAGAGACTGGACCTGGAACACAGGGACCACCACACAGGGCTTGGGGCCAGGCAGGGACAGACCACCCATGTGCCTAAGAGCAGCCCGTCTGCACATGCCTCTGCATGGCTTAGGGCGCAGAACCCCAACCCCCAATCCAGGAAGGCAGCCCCACTTGCAGGTGGGGCAGGAAGGGATAGGACCAGCATTCAGCTCTGCTCTAACTCAGGCTCCAGGCCTTAGGGAAGCAGCCAACCTGACTCAGACCCCAAATATCTTCACCCCACCTCCTGGTCCCCATCTGGACAGGGTGCTGAGGACTGGCTCTCAGTCACACCCCTCAGGAGTACTCTTCAAAGGACAGCTGGATGCCCCAGGGCAGGGAGCTTTGGCCCCCAGCTCCCTCACCCCAGCACGGGCAAGATGGACACCATCGTCCCAATTTTGCAGATGAGGAAACTGAGGCTGAGGGCCGGCCTGCGCTCTCCAGAGCTGGAAGAGAATGCAGAGAGCAGCTGGAGTCCAGCTGGTGGTCCCCCTGGGGCTGGCTCGTAGCAAGCCACAGCTGCCTCCGCCCATCACACTTAGACCTCGCTGCCCCAGGAACAGCCCTCCAGGAGGCCCGGCCTGGCACAGAGCCCATGCCACACTGCTTCCTGAACAAATAAGTGGAGCAAGCCACCAAGCCGAGGCTGGATGCAGCCCGGCTCCGCCAGGGCCTCTAACGACTCCCCGTTTGGAGAGCACATTAAGTGTCTCAAAGTCTCCCAAACCACAAATGTCCAGCTCACGCTTCTGTAACCCTGAGCCTGGCACTCACTCTGCCCGCCCAGCACTCCTCTCAGGCTCAGGCCTCCTCTAAGATACCAGCACCAACTCCCCAACTTGTCCCGTCACCTGGCTCATTCCTGAACCGCCAGCAGGAGAGTCTCAGGCCAAATCCTCCCACAGGCCACCTCCAGCAGGATGCAGGATGCATGAGCCCACTGTCGTGCTGGCTGGGAGATGCAACCAAACAAGATCAATCCAATCAGTGGATGAACTGACAAATTTAATGTGGTCCCTCCACACAATGGAATATTATTCAGCCATAAAGGAGGCTGAAACAGGCCGAGCGTGGCTCACACCTGTAATCCCAGCACTTTGGGAGGTCGAGCTGGCAGCTCGGTTTTGAGGTCAGGAGTTCAAGACCAGCCCGGTCAACATGGTGAAACCCCATCTCTACTAAAAATACAAAAATTAGCCGGGCGTGGTGGCGGGCACCTGTAATGCAAGCTACTCAGGACGATGAGGCAGGAGAATCGCAAACCTGGAGGCAGAAGTTACCGTGAGCCGAGATTACCACCGCACTCAGCCTGGGCAACAGAGCAAGACTCCATTTCAAAAAAAAAAAAAAAATGAAACACCCATAGGTGGTACTACTTGAAAAAAAAAAAAAAAGGCTGAAACACCCATAGGTGGTACTACTTGGGTGCCTCCGGAAAACGTTACAGTAACCAAGGAAGTCAGCCACAAAAGACGAACGACAAAAGACGCATTATAAGATTACCTTCATACAAAATGCCCAGAACAGGCAGAACCATAGAGGCAGAAAGCAGACTGGTGTTCACTAGCGGATCCAGGGAGAGGGAATGGGAAGTCACTGTGTAACGGGTACGAGTTTTATTTTGGGGTGATGAAAATCTCTTATAACTTGATAGAAGTGATGGTTGTAAACATTGTGAATGTACTAAATGCCTGCCTTGTATACTTTAATATTTTATATTATGTAAGTTTCCCTCAATTTAAAACAAAATCAACTCAACACCTTTCACCTAAGAAAGATCTGGCTTTAGCTTGCATTTCCTGCAATTCCTGCCTAAAGCCTTCCAGAAGCTTCCGTTGCCTTGTGGCTCACAACCAGACTCCACAGCATGATCTGGCCTCTAAGGACCTCTCACAGGCCCCCCGAGAGTGAAGGAGCACCCGTGGGCCCACCTCTGCATAGCCTCTTCCCCTGTCCTCCCCTCTGCAGGGGCAGGGCCTTATCTGCCATTCTATCGCACTCAACCCCAGCACTTCACATGGTAGCAGACACCAAACCAAACAGCAACAGCATTTTACTGGGCCAGGTGCACGTTAACTCACTGAATTCACGGTAGGAAGGATTCTATCCCCATTTTACAGGTGAGAAAACTGAGGCACACAAAGGTAGCATCAGCTTCCCAAGCTTCCCAGCACAGATTGCAGCCAGATCCCAGGCTGGAATCAGGCCCTGGGCGCAGGGGCTCTGTCCACAGTGCTAACTACTCCTGCCCCGAGGGCTGCAGCAGTGAGTGAGTGAGTTGGTCAGTGGACTGGATGTCCAAGGTCACAAGACTATTGTAATAACAGCCGCTAGACTGGCCGGGGCCAGAAAGATCAAGGACTCTGACACACAACTGCGCTCACTGCAGCTCTGCTGCTGCCAGTCCCCCACCTGGGCTGGGGATGGGACTAAAGGTCTCACACAGGGCACTAAGGGCTCTCCACAGGCTGGGAGAGGAGCGGGGCGAGACAACAGAAACTAGGTATGGTGCCCAAAGTCAAACAGCTACTGAGCATGTAAACCCAGGTGGGTCTGACCCCAAAACCCCCTCTGTCCTGCAACCCGTCACTGCAAGGGAGAAAGCACCTCAGAGGCCTCGCCTGCCTGCACCCCCCACCCCTGTGTGTGAGTTCTACTAAATGCCTGAGCAGTGACACAGCAGGGCTGAAATTAAACGGGTTCCAAAAACGACAGGAAGCGCGAGGTGGATCTCCCCAGAAAAGTGCCGAACAAATGCTGGATTGGGTTCACGGGGAATTTCTTGGAACTGAAGAGGGGAGTTAAACACACAGGGCCCTGCTTTGGAGGGGACTCTCTCAGGGTGCTCCACACAGCACTTGGTTAACCCCACTCAGCCCTGCTGGGTCTCCCAGAGGGCCCGGCCCTGGCCTTGGGCATCTACAGGAGGAACCTCCAGGGGGAGAGACGGTGCCTGGACAGGCCGGCCCTGGAACAAGCACTTGGGCCCCCAAGGAGAGAGGCCTAGGGCTTGGGAGCTGGGGAAATTCTCAGCACTGGGACCACTAGAACAAAGCCATTTCCGTGGGTTCACAGCTTCCAATTGCAACAGGAAGCAATCAGGAAAAATAATTAGCTGCCCACTTACTGGCTTTGCTGGGGACCGAGGCATGCATCTCACACGGAAAACTAGGGACATAACATCGAAACCGTTCTGCAGAAAGATTCCTCCCTTTCCTTCCATTTTAGGACTGGATCACCACATTCGCTGGGGCTCCCAGGCCTTGCTGCCTAATGTTAAAATAATCAACTCTATTTTTGCCTCACACACAACTGAACTCCACAGCTGTAATTCTTTCTCCTTAGGGGCTCGAACCACATGGACGACAGGCATTTGACTCCAGCAACATCACCCCAAAATGTGCACAAAACCCAAAACTGCAATGAGGTGAAAGGCAACGTGGTCCGCTTAGAAATCCCCTCTTTAAAACACACTGCTTCCCCAAAAACCCTTTTGCCTCCTTGACCCAGGCATTTCCGGAAAAAGGAGCGGCACTGGCCTGTACTCCCCAGATACTGTCGCTGTTTTGTCTTCACCTTGTTTTGCTAGCTCCAGACAAGGCCCCAAAATGTAAACACGCTCCGGAAAGAGGCAGATTTGGGGTGAAACTGTCCATAGAATCTCTAGGCTTGGGTCAGAGGCAGCAGGACGTGAAACAAACGCCAGGCTCCTCCCCTTCCCCGCTGCCCCCTACACCTCCAGGCAGAGGCTGCAGCCCGGGGGATCTGACTACAGGGCTACCCCCCTGCACCATCCACACTGGAAATATTCAGGGAGACAGCTGTTTGCCTTAAGGAGGCCCAGACAAAGGGGCCCGAGGTCCTCCCCGCTAAACTGCCACAAACAAAACAGGAGCCCGGGCGTAGACAGGCACTTGCGGCCGGCCGTGCCACTTGGCCGGTCATACTCCAGAAAAACAAAACACGCACATCCGAAGAGAATGATCTAGGTAGCAAGAGTCTTGCTTGAAAAACCACATGGCAATCTCCAAATTAAAAGAACATGTGTAGCGTTTCACAACTGCTTAAGTTTCCTGAGTCCTCCTGACCTCAACTCCACCCCTTGGGAAACACCAAAAGTTGGAGAGAAAGTTCCCCGGCCCCACCTCTCCCCACGGGCGTGTACAACTGAGGCACGAGCCCGCCTGCCCCACTGTCCCGCGCTCGGGGACCACGTCACCCACGTGTAGCCGACCCAGGGAGGGACAACATCTGGGGCCCCGGCGGCCACACGGGGCATTCGGGTCGCCCGAGCACCTGGCAGGTGTCAGTCCGCTTGGAAACCCACAGCCACGCGGCTCATAGGCGCAGCGCCACCAGCCAGGCCGCCCCGCGCCCGGACTCAGAACTTTCTCGCTGCAACTTCAGCCCGTCCTCGGAGCACGCGGGCCGGCCGCGCGGCCGCTGGAAACAGGCTAGCGAACCGGCTCCCTGGGCCAGGCCCGCCTCCGTGCCCCAATTCCCCGCTCGGTGCCCGGCCCGGGCCACACGGGCCCAGCGCGGGCTCGGCTCCCGGCTAACCGCGGGCGCGGGCAGGTGAGGACCCGCCCGCGCCGCACCTGGCAGAGCAGGCGCCGCCCGCACGCTCTCCTGGCTGTCCCGGGACGCGGCGTCCCCGGGGAGGGCCCGGGCGGGGAGACAAAGGGCCCGCGCGCGGCAGGGACGCCGGGGACGGCAGGGGGGTCCCGGGCGCGCGCCCCAACTCGCCCCCAACACGCCAAGTCGCTTCCGAGGCGGCGGCGCCACCCGCGCACTTGGCCGCGGGGCCGCCGGGGCCATTGTCCGAGCAGCCCGCGGCCCCCGGCCGGCCCGCGCCCACCTACCCGCGGCGGGGGCCGGGTAGCCGCACAGCGCCAGCAGCAGCAACAGCAGCGGCCACGGCGGCCCGGGCGGCGCTGCCTCCATGTTGTCCGGCGGCCGGACGGGCCCGCGCCGCGCTCACTCCGGCTCCATGGCGCGGCGGCGGCGGCTCCTCGCGCGGCTCCCGGCGCCTCCGCCTCCCCCCTCGGGCGCCGCGGACCAGGACGACGGGGAGGAGGGAGCTGGGCGCGCGGGAGCGGAAGCCGCGCCGCGTCTCCGCCCCCCGCCGCCGCCGCCCGCGCCCCCCGCGCCGGCCGCGCCCTCCCGCGGGCGCCCCTCGGAGCCAGCCGGCGGCCAGGCGGCCCCAGCGGCCCAGGTCCCCGCGGCCCCTCCCCGCGCTCCCCGCCCTGCCCTGGGGGTGCCTCCGGGAGGCTCGGCGCGGGGCTGGGGCGCGGGGTTTCCGTCCCGCGGGGCCCGGCGGCCGATCGGGGCCCGGAGCCAGGTGTGTCACCTGTGGAGCCTTTATGAGTGGGGAAACTGAGGCACGGGGCGGGGTTGCCCAAGGGCACACAGCGAGGCAGTTTCAGGGCAGGAAGCCTGGGGCCCCACGGGGCAGCCCCGGACACTTGCTCTCACCTGTGGAGGGCAGAGGAGGGAACAGGGAGAGAAGTACATGAAGCTGTCCGGCTGGGAGTGGAGGGGGGTTTGAGGTTTTACTTTAAACTAAATGTGGACCCTCTACCTTAGTTATGAATTATGAGACACGAAGATTGAGAAACAGACACACTCCTCTGAAAACGCCTCTAGGCTGACAGGGAGAAAGTCCCGCCAGCCTCCCAGATGCCACCTTGGAGTCCTTCAACAAGCAGACCAGGGTCTCTTAAGAGCCCACCGGTGTCAGCTCAGCCCCTGAACCCTCCAGGAAGAATCTCACCCAGGCACAGCCTGGAAGGGGCACAGAAGGGGCTCTGGAACCAGCAAGCCGAAATTCGAACTCCCGGTCTGCTACTTTCTAGAACGACTGTGCCCTTGTCGGATCTAAATAGAACCTCCCCGGGTACTCGTTCCTCCCTTGTAAAGTGGGGATAGCAATGGCCACCTTGCAGGTTCAGAGAGGGCTTGCAATACCTCACAGAACTGGGTGCCCGTGAATGGGTGCATTCCTCCAGATTTGTGACAACTTTGCCAGGCTGGCATCAGGCTGAACGCCTCTGCCCTCATGGGGTTTATATTCTAGGAAGGGAGACCCACAAAAACAAGAAGACAGAAAGTTAAAACAAAAGCCCCATTGACAGACCACGAAGAATGCCGTGAAAAATGAAGGGCGCTGTGCTGCAGTGTCTGGGGAAACTCTGGCTTAGGGAAGGAAGGACACTTGAGCTGCTACTAAGGAGCAGCCGTCCGGCGGGAGGGCAGTTCAGGAAGAGCAGACATCAGTGGAGGAGGCGCTGGGGCAGAGGGCAGCGTGGTCGCTGGATTCCGGGGAGGAACCACATCGGGCCATGAGCTGGAGCTGGTGCTGGTGCTGGAAGGTGCAGGAGACGCCAGCTGGGGCCGGTACATGTCAGACCTCAGGCAGGGAAGAGGAATGGAGAATGTACCCTACGAACAATGGGAAGCCAGGCTAGGATTTAAGCAACAAAAATATTTTCCCTTCTTGCACCCTGTGTCCAGCTCTACCACCACGGCCTGGGGCTCTATTTTCAAAACAGACCCAGGCTCCCAGCTCTTCTCCACACTTCTACTACTGCCACCTGTCACGCGTCAATGCATCCCCACTTGCAGCCTCCACCCACTTCTGCCTGACCTCACTGCAGCCAGGGAAGCTCCAGGGCTCATGAGGGCTGCCATCAGGATAGAAGCAAAGGCCTCGGGCACCTGCAGGGCCTGCTCTGACCACACTTCTTCCTTGACCTCTCAGCTTCTTTGGCCACTATCCCTTCCCACATCTCACCCTGCTCCAGCCACAGTGGCGTCTCTGTGGGTTCTCAAACACACCAGGCGCACTCCTGCCTCAGGGCCTTTGTGCTTGCTGTTCTCTGCTGCGATTCTTTTTTTTTTCTTTTTGAGACAGGGTCTCGCTCTGTCGCCCAGGCTGGAGTGCAGTGGTGTGATCGTAACTCACTGCAACCTCAAACTCCTGGGTTCAAGCGATCCTCCTGCCTCAGCCTCTGGAGTAGTTAGCTTTTGCTGTTTCGTTTTGTTTTGTTTTTAGATGGGATCTCACTCTGTTGCCCAGGATGGAGTGCAGTGGGGCAATCTCGGCTCACTGCAACCTCTGCCTCCCAGGCTCAAGCAATTCTCCTGCCTCAGCCTCCCACGTAGCTGGGATTACAGGCATGTGCCACCACGCCCAGATTATTTTTGTATTTTTAGTAGAGATGGGGTTTCACCATGTTGGTCTGGCTGGTCTTGAACTCCTGACCTCAGATGATCCACCTGCCTCGGCCTCCCAAAGTGCTGAGCCGCCGTGCCCGGCTCTAGCAGTTAGGACTGCAGACAGGGGCCATCATGCCTGGTGATCCTCCCACCTTTTCTGCTCCAACTCTTTCACCCCGCTTAGCCACATGGCTCCTTTTCTTACCTCTTCAGCTCCTCAGCCAGGCCTGATGACCCCTGTTGAAAATTGCAAACCATACCCGCACCCCACCACCCACTCTTGCCGGCACTTTCTAGTCCATTTCCCTGCTTTACTTTTCTCCTTTGCACTCATCACCACCTGACTCATTACACGTTTACGCATCTTTCTTCCCTCCACTAACATGGAAGCTCCAGGAGAGCAGGGTGTAGCTTTATTCCCTGATGTGTTTCCTGTGCCTGTACCAGGGCCTAGCACACAGTAGGTGCTCAGTAAATGTGTGTTGGATGAACAAATACAGTGAAAGGATCCGATCTACATTGGTAAACAAGGCACTCTGGCTGCTGAGCGGGGATGAGACTGTCAGGAGGAAAGAGGCCCCTGTGGGGGCCCGGCCAGCAGGTGGGTACAATGGTAGCAGCCAGGAGAGAGGGCCTCTTGGACCCAAGTGGATGGGGTCTGCTCAGGAACGAAAGGAAAGGGGCCCAGGATGGCCTGTCATAGAGGACACGTTACAACTGGCCCAAAGTTCCAGTCAGGTTTCTAAATTTGGGAAGGGATACAGAAAAACTAAAGACTCTACTGGACAGTCAGTTATTGAAATGATTACATAGAAAATGTACCAAGAATATTAAAAAAAAAAAAAAAAAAAAAAAAAAAAAAGCACGATGAAGGGGCCACCAAAGACTCCCAGAGAGGAATGGGACTGTGGGCCGGGCGCGGTGGCTCACGCTTATAATCCCAGCACTTTGGGGACCGAGGAGGGCGGATCACAAGGTCCGGAGTTCAAGAGCAGCCTGGGCAACATGGTGAAACCCTGTCTCTACTAAAAACACAAAAAAATTAGCCGGGCGTGGTGGTGGGCGCCTGTAGTCCCAGCTACTCGGGAGGTTGAGGCAGGAGAATGGCGTGAACCTGGGAGGCAGAGCTTGCAGTGAGCCAAGATTGCACCACTGCACTCCAGCCTGGGCGACAGACCGAGACTCCATCTCAAAAAAAAAAAGTCATCACTATTTTATTCTGCAGGATTCCAACACCCCAAGGACAGTCATTTTTAGACCCTTCAGTGACGTAATAAGTAACCGGAGGATGTGCTGAGCCTCCACTTCCTCAGACGGTTGCCTGTCACAGCTCATCAGGCCACCAAACTTTTCTTAGGCCTCAAATTTGGAAATGTTCACTCTCAGTTCGTTCCTCAGATGCGAGTCCATCCCAATGAAGTAACGGGCTCAGCACCTGTCCAGTCTCATTGCTTCCGGGGACAGGGGCCCATCAGAGGATGCTGTTTCAGCCCTGTGACGCTTGGGCAAAGTGCCTTTTGGTTTCCCTCCCAGGCTGGAACATGCTGGCTCTGTGAAGTTACACTGGGCACAAGAGCCCCCCCTGAATCTGCAGGACTGCCTGCTGTGGTCAGAGGTGCCCCTTGGGCTTTCAGAGCCACAGAATCTTCCTGAGGGCAGCGCCGGAAGAGGCCCCCGTGGGAGTGCCCACTGCCAGGTTCATTCCTCAGGCCCCTGCAGGCCTCTCCCCAAAACAGGCAATGCCTCCCAGCAACCTGCCCCAGGAGCAGACGAGGGAAGGCTGCCATCGGCCCACGGTGCTGGGCTCTGGATGGCTTGGTTGGTAACAGGCCATGGTTTCTATGAGCCAGGGGTGTGAAGGACAGAGCTTGGATTCACCTGTCTGGGCCTCAGTTTCTGCATTCGAAATGTGAGAATCATGGTATCTGCTTTATTTCTTATCTCTCAGTGCTGATGTGAACCTCCAATAAGACTTCGAAAAATACTCTTTATACCTTACTTTTATTTTTCATTTATTTTCAGACAATGTCTAGCTGTCTCACCCAGGCTGAAGTGCAGTGGAGTGATCACAGCTCACTACAGCCTTAACCTCCCAGGTTCAAGTGATCATCCTACCACAGCTTCCCAAGTAGCTGGAACTACAGGCATGCACCACCACACCTGGATAATTTTTTCTTTTGAGACAAAGTTTCACTCTGTCATCCAGGCTGAAGTGCAGTACACTCTTGGCTCACTGCAGCCTCAACCTCCCTGGACTTAGGTGATCCTCACACTTCAGTCTCCCAAGTAGCTGGGACTACAGGCGTGTGCCAGTACACCCGGCTAATATTTTTGTAGAGATGGGGTTTCACTATGTTGCCCAGGTTGGTCGTGAACTCCTGGACTTAAGCAGTCTACCTTCCTCGCCTCCCAAAGTGCTAGGATTATAGGTGTGAGCCACCCCCTGGCCTAAAATCCTACCACTTTAAAAAAGCCTATAATTCTAGCACTTAAAAAAATTTTTTTTAAATTTTTTATAGAGATGAGGGGGGCAGCTGCGGTATCACTGTGTTGCCCAGGCTGGTCTCGAACTCCTAGGATCAAGCCATCCTCCTGGCTTGGCCTCCCAAAGTGTTGGGATTATAAGCATGAGCCATTATAACTTACCTTTTTTTTTTTTTGAGATGGAGTTTTGTTCTTGTTGCCCAGGCTGGAGTGCAATGGCGAGATCTTGGCTCACTGCAACATCCACCTCCCAGGTTCAAGCAATTCTCCTGCCTCAGCCTCCCAAGTAGCTGGGATTACAAGCACGTGTTACCACGCCCGGCTAATTTTTTATTTTTAGTAGAGACAGAGTTTCTCCATATACCTTACTCGTAAAGCTCTGCATTCATGTAAATTGTGATTAACATGGATTCAAGAGAGGGAGTGAGGACGAAGGAGCCAGGCCTTAC